TTTTTTTCTTGTCATTATCCCTTCAACAACAAAGTATAACTATTTACACTCCATTAGCTATTATAGGTAATCTGGAAATGATTTAAAGTAGAACAGGTGAGAGAGGATGTATGTAGGTCATATGTAAGTATTTTAACATATCATGTAAGGCACCTGAGCACTGCAGATTTTACAAGGGGTCCTGGAACCAAGGGAAGGCTGCACTCACCTTTTCAACCTCCCCTCACAGAGACCACCAGAAAAATCTGTTGATCAAGCAAAGTTCACATGGTCTTATTAATGTCTCTAAAAGTGGAAATTGGAGAAGAGTACGGGTCTTGGGATTCATTGGGCTTAAGGCAGGTATTTCAAGGTGAGGAAGTAACTGGAAGTGGGTGAAAATTGTGACAATATTATACGACTATAGCACACTGTGAGGTGACAGTCTGGAGATGAGTTTTATGAGGAGCAAACTTGTTATCCTGATAAGTGAGCTTTTTACCCAGATAAGCAAAGTGTTTGCCTGTAAAATTGGTTTGTAAAATTTTCATGATGCAAACAGTAAAGTACTTTATTGGTCTGCAATCATATCTTCCTTGGTATGAATTTCCTGGGGAAATAAAAGCAGTAATATTGACACTGATAGTCTCAGTTCTCAGCCCCATCAGTTAAATTTATGTTGATGCAGGTAATCTCCATTTTTCAATAGAATGGAAGACTATACACATATTCCTCATTTAATGACCTACCTGTTTAATGATCATTTGGACTTAATCAAGGCACACTGTCCAAATTTATGACCTGCCATTCGGACTTATGACCTATCTTTTATTTTTGTGTAGTCTGTACATCATGAATATAGAGCCTCACAGTCTGTTTGGGCATGGTATACCTTGTTTATACAATACTGTCATTTTGCTGATTGTACTGTACAGCAGTACTGTAGTTTTATGTTCTTTTATACATTACAGTATTCCATGTAAGGGTTATGCAAATAAAAGCAAAGTCAAGTTGGAGTTTCCTTTGAGCATAACATTTTTCTGAATATTGTAATGTATATACTACATACAATTCCTCATTTAGTGACCAATTCACTTAACAACCTAGGCACAGGAACATAGCAATTGCTCCTTCCTCTCTATTCTTCCCAGAAGAGGTGAGTAGTTTTGCTTCACCATGTGCTCCCTGTGAAAATGTTCTGCCTCGCCACAGGCTGAGAAGCAATGGAGCCCACCAACAATGGACAGAAACTTCTGAAACTATAAGCCAAAATAAAACTTTCCTCTTATAAGTTGTTTGTCACAGGTATTTTGTTATAGTAACAAAAAGTTGACTAATGTATCAGCAGAGGGTATGGATAGTGAATGAAAAAAGTCAAGAAGGAATTCTGGGCTGCTAATGATGTTTCACTTCCTTTTATGGATGTTGGTACCTGAATATGTTTCCTTTGTGAAAATTCATCAAGCTATACATTTTAGATTTGTATATTTTTCTACTTATATGTCATACTTCAACTAAACAAAGTTTCCTTAAAAAAATACAGGTAGACAAGATAAAAGTCTAAATTCTAGCACCATTTTCTATCTTAAATAATTGTTACTGAAAATACATGTGCCAACAATATTAAAGAAAATGTAAACAAAAGGAAATAATCTCTCACAATTACATAATTCTGTCATCCTGTTTGCTTTGATTCACTTGCTTTCCATTACAAGATACCTGTGCCATTCTGCCTTGTTTCATCAGGTGTTCATGGTCTAATGGTAGAGTATTTTTTACCTGCCTGCCTATCAAACCTCTACCACCTTTTGGAAGAAAATATGCAAAATATGATGTTCATGAGATATGGCTAAAAGGGAAGCAGGGCATTCCCTGTGGCTTGGAAAGGGTGGTAAAAGCTTTTCAATCTGAAACTGAGTACAGTATCTTGCTTAGGTTAGAAAATCCTGAGAGTCTTGTGAGACTGTCCTCTTGTGGACATATCAGTCTTTTAATTGTAAATTTTTAGCAGGTATAAGTATTTTGTCAGCAGTTTTATTTCTTTAGCATCTTAACAAAAGAAGATTCTCCAAAGTTTAAAAACTTTTGAAAAATACAATTTCATATAATGTACATATCATGTGGGTAGAGGTTCCAATATCATACAAACTGTAAATTTTTAACAATTATAGTTACTAGTCAAGAAAAACACTTAAGTTAACATTAGATTACTTTAATTTAGTACAAAAGCACTTAGCCTGTCATCAAATTATGTTAACTTGGCACTTTCACAGCTTTGATGTAAATAAATTACACATACTGTAACTTACAAACAACTTTACTCCATATGTCATCTATCACATAACAATGTCTGAATGACTTGAGGAAGGTTTCACGTGTTTTCAAATGAAAGAAGGAACACAATAAGAAAATGGACAAAATAGAAGATAATCAAAGAAAAGCCTTACTTGTGTGAACAAGCAACTTTTCAGTTTTATGTCAGGCATAATAGAACTCTCCAATAGGACTATAATTATTATGCATTGTACTTATTGTATAATTTTATGTATCTCATTAACTCAATTATTTGTCTTATGTCCGAAAAGGATGGAGTTAAAAATAATTAGAATAATCTTGCAATCTTCCTAAAATCTCTGTATTTTTTGTGAGTTTTGAGAATCATTCTCAGGATGTCATTAAACCTAAATAAAATTGTCCCACTCAGTTGTCTTTGCACTGATCATGATCCATCAAGGTTTAAAATTAGCACTGTTTATATTTAAATTCAACTATTGGAAATGATTACTTTATCTGTTTTGCTTAAAGCTTCATTGGGGCAAAAATTTAAATTTTCAGAGACTTTTCTTATGATGAGTTAAAATATTACCTATTCCTCTCCTCAAAGTGAAACTATTTAATAGAAAGCAATAGTGTCTTATTTGGCAAATGGAAAAGAAAAGAAACAGCCCTATCATGTCAGTCAGTGTTTCTCAATGTGCAGTTTGAGGAATAGGAACACCAACATTACCTGAGAATTTGATACAAATGGAATTTCTCAGTCTCTGTCCCAAACCTAGAGTCAGAGACTCAGGAAATGGGATCTTGGCTTTGCTCTACCAACTTTTCATCTCCACTGGGTTTGTTGAACCATACTTACAAGTTCAAGCATTTTTCCAGCCTCTTTTGGATCATCAATGATTTGCTAATATCATATTACCTATACACAGCCAACCCCGGAATCAGAACAGGAGGGCACAGGGAAAGATGTGGACACAAGGGAGAAGTGGACAATTGGGACTACTTTTGCAAACCACTACAATATGCTTCGTTTTTACAGTAGTCAACTAATAATTCATTCAAGAGAGTCAGATATCCTTGGCCCACCTTAATTTTATCGTCTCCTTTGGCTTGGCTTTTTGCTGGGTTAAAAAAAAAAAATGCCAGTATTTATATTATTTTAAAAAAATCTGCCTTTGACAAAACACCAAGAGGGAATGATTTTTATTAAATCTAAATCAATTATTCTTGCCTGAAAAAGGATCAGAGATCCTTGAGAAGAGGTCCCAGCCTACTAGAGTCATCCCCAGCACATACTTCGGGAACCAGAGATGAGACTGATAAATTTTAATTTGTTTTTACAAAGATGAACCCCTGCTTTATGCAATTCTGTTAAATATAAAATCTTTCAAATATATTAAACATTCATGGTGCTGTTCAAAATGAAGTTTATAAAAGCATATAGACAGGCATCACTGTTCAAAGTAAGTCTTTGCCAGCATCATAAAATCCATATTTATGGGCCGGGGATTTAGCTCAGTGGCTCCACTGCCTTGCAAGCACAAGGTCCCAAGTTTGATCCCTGGTACCAAAAAAACCAAAATTCGTATGTACATTATATTCACATTCCTGAAATTGATAAGACCTGTTGGCTTTTCTCTGTTCTCTTTACCCAGTTTATGCTCTTTTCTTATAGATTGTTATATTTTATTCATTTTTTTATCTAATCTTTTGGACTGATCACTTTTGTTTCCATATTGGTATTTAACAAGGCACAGATTAGTAAAGAGAACCCTAAAAGGTAAGGAGAAAGTTTGAATCTCTTTAGATTGAACACAATGTTTTGTAGCCCTGACGTTTCTCTTAGCTTTGGGGCAAATAGCTTTTTCATGGAAATTTAACTTATTTTGTTTGGGGATTGCCTAGCAATACCAGATGTCAATGGTATTAACCTGAAATTAAACCTCAAATCAGTCTGGCATGGTGTCGTATGCTTGTAATCTCAGCTACTAAGGAGATTGAGGCAAGAGGATCAGCCTGAGCAATTTAGCCAGATTCTGTCTCAAAAAAATAGGGGTGAGAAGGTGGAGGGAGCTGGGGATGCAGGATGTAGTTAAAAGTCCCAAGTTTAATCCTAAGTAATGTGCACACACACACTTAAATGTAAATTTACTCTTACTTGAAAGAAAAAGTTTGAATTCAAAATTCATTTCCCAAAGTTTTACATAAATCCATGCCAAAAAGTGGATACCTGCTACTGTATTTTGTCCCAGTATAACCTATATCTCAACAAACTTAAATATCAACAATGTGCAAGGCAGCACCCACTCCTATTGTTGTCTCAACCATAGCTTCAAACATGTTGTGCCTTAGAATATCAAAGAACTGACAGAATGGCAGAGAATTCAAGGTACACTTAAATTACCCAGCCTCTCAAGTGAGGGTGGAGTTTGGACCTAAGCCTTCTTTTCCAGATCAGAACATTTTCCATTTCCTTTAAAATAAATATATCTCTTGGATATATCTCTTTTTATTTTCACAAAACAGACATGAGAAACTAAAAGGTCATTAGCATCTAGGAGGTTGAAAACCAAAGATCAAAAGGAAAAGAAAGCAAAAAACAGCCCTCGCATACTATCGCCCGCAGATGCCCAGAGTTTGAGAGGCGAGAGAGCTGGTCGGTCCGGGCCACCCAGTGCCCCTGTGCTGCAGCCTCCAGGCTGTGGGCGGCACTGTGGCGAACTCCGAGTCGGGTGCACTCAGCCGCTCTCTCTTTCGGCGGCGGCGAGGTGGAGCCTTCGCGAGCGCTGTGAGGAGGTGGTGGCCCTGGAAGGTAAGCAGCGGTGGCCGGATTCGGGTGGAGGGGTTCTTGCCTGGGAGCAGGCAGGGCCGCTTCTTGCCCCTCCTCAGTCCCCGGTGCCGCGGATTCGGGGGCGTTCGCTCGTGCAGCCTGAACTTGCCACTCCCGGACCTCTGACCCGGCATCCCACATCTTGGAGATCTCTGGCCCCCCGGAGCCCATTTCTCAGCCGCTGACACGCCAGGCGCTTGGCTTGCGGGTCGGTGCCTCATCCGCGGACAACCCCCACACCAAGAACCCGCCCAGTTCCTAGTTCCTATGTCCCACACGTTTAGGGGAATATGGTTTTGTAATTTTTCACGAGATGCCCCTTTTGTTTTTTAACTGCGCCGTCAGTCAGTGCTTTTTCAATCCTGTAGCTCAGTGTCAGGAACTGAATTGAATGCAGTTTCTCCTGGAGGCTTCAGGTGCACCTGCACCTCTGTAATCTACAGCACAATAGGTACCACAGCATTGAGGGGAAGCCAAACACGGCTTTTCAGGCCTCAGATTGACTGCAAGTCATTGGCACAACCTTTCTCCTTTTTTCAGATACAGTAAATTCAAGAGACGGAAGGATACTTTTAAAAGTTATATGTTATGTTAAAAGCAACAATAGGACCAATTTTTTAAACTTAAGAGCTTACAAATGTTATATTTTGCACATCTTGTAATAACATAAACGCAAAGTCCTTTTCTCAATTTAGGCACGATTGGATGAGATGGTGGAATAGGAGTGAGCTGGAAATTGGGAGAACTGGATTATCCCACTCTTCTGGCAAAGACAATCTCTTTGAGTCTAGGTTCCTTTAAAGGACAATAGAAGGCTTGGACTGGATAGTGAAGATGACACTAGTTGCCATTTCTGAGCATCTATCCTTTATCTTAATCTACACACATTTAATGCACATCTATATGCAATAGATAGTATTACTCCTTTTATAAAGGTGGTAACTGAGAATCATAACACATTTTAGAAGTAGCAAGGTTGGGATTTGAGGCTATGCTAGCTTTCCTCAAGCCATAAAGTCCTTTGATTCTATCCCAAACCTGTTTATACTAATTTAAATTATTTTAAGGTGTTCTGCTTCAGGCTTCAAGTGTTAAGATACCATGTTATATGAAACTAAAATAATAGGTGTATTTAAACTCTCCTTAAAATATTTTGTCCATTTTATAATTCCCTGAATCTTTTACAAGTATTTGATTATTGATGTTTTCTACTTGTTAACATTCTGATTTCTGATAATTTTGTTTTGACTTGTCTTCTATTTCTAAAATGTACGTTTGAAAATGGAATTTTTCCCTCCAAAGTAATTCTTACATTATATCTTCATCCAGTTTTCATGTACAATATTACTGTATATGAATACTTGTGCCAATTTTATGCCGGTGAATTATTGAATGTCAGTTACCACATACTTTCTGGATTGTCCTCCAGAGCAAGAATTTTACCGAAGTAAAGAAAATCATTCAAAATGACCAGTCATGACTGTGTCTAGGACTATCTGGTATAGCTTCTTATATTGGTGACATTAATTCTGGGAGAGTGAGGGGGGCATGGTCTCATGCTTTAAGATATAAATACAGGGAGTTGTGTAAAGGGACAGTTCTTCATCTTTGTTTCTTTTTCCCATTGCATTTCCCTTCCCTTCATAGGAAGATGAACAGAAGAAAAAGGTAAAGACTGTTTTGCCAGGGAAGGGCATATGAAATAAATGTAGCTTAATATGAATCTTTTTCATAAACAAGTATGAAAAATTCTACTCTTTCTCTCTCTATATATATGTGTACACACACACACATATATGTGTCCCTCATGATGGATGTAATTATGTACAGCAAACATATACTAATGAACATATGTATACACACATATGAAAAATAGATTCTTAATTATGAGTAAATAAAGGAACAAGAAGCAGGGCATGGAAAAATGAAGAAGGAATGAATAAGAATAAGGGCATCTGGACAGATCACACAGCCAGTAGTACCTAATTTATTATTTTGCAAGTGGGCCTACACACAAATTAATAACCAAACTATTTAGGAGCAGTGCAGTGCCATGTTTCCACCATCCCTGGTAACTTGTGTGTATGTACGTGCCTGTGATTCTCATTTATTACAATAAAGGAGGTTTTAAAATTTACCTTAAAGATAAGCATCTTCAAAGTGAGTATAACTAAAAACTGGTCAGTGTTTGTGCAAAGAAATAAGTGCTAGCTATTGCACTGGGGGAAAAGTTGGAGAAGGTGACAGGAGGACAGTTGGCTTGTTCCTTTTCTCATGATCAAGAACCTGATTTACATAGTATATAGGTGTGTGTGTGTCTTAGGTATAGTTCACTGGAATGTAATGTCAAAATAAGTTATTGCTGTTCTTTGAACTTACGGTTAGTTACGCAGCTTTTAATAATAGAATTTAAATTAGTTCTACCCTTGAAAATAACCAGTTAGCTTTTACTGGTAGATGAAAAACTTACTTGTTGAAGTAAGGGTTTGTTTTTCCCAAAAGTACTGATGTACTTCACACATCTGTGAAGAAACAAACAAGATTAAGATTTTGTATTTTACATTCTTATTTAACCAGCACATCTTAAATTTCCACTCCAGTTACACATGTACAGCTCTATGGGCCAGGCATATGAATAAATACAAAAGAATCTTCTCTTATGTAAAAACGTTTTTTGTTGTTTTTATTTTTTATAATCACATAACAAATTCTTGGCTACTAAAACCTTTTTTGGCTTCAGTAATCTGTATTTTTTATTGAAAGTATACATAGTTGTTGAAGGTTCTATATTTAATAAATGTGTAAATAAGTTTGTGCAGTTTTGGGAGAACTATTCTAACACCTTCAGTGCTTGACTCATAAAAGGAGAAATGTCAATAAACTGAGCTGTCTTATTCTACTCTTAATAAAATGTTACTTTTATGCTTTCCAGAAAGTATCACAAATAATGGATATTGTGGCATATTAAATCTTTAAAATATACTTTAGGGTTTGCAATGTGAGTAACCTATAATTGTCATTTCTAGTAGTGTTTAACATAAATAGTACATTATTAAGATAAATGTAGATGTTTGGAGGCTCAGTGTAAATACCACTTTGAGTACTTATTTCCTTGATTGATTACAAAGGAAATGTAGATTTTCCTAAGGAAAAAGGAAATCAAGGGATCTTGCAACTAAATGTAGTTCATTATCATTTGAGTTAGAATTAGATAGCTTTTTATAGGCATCATATTTTTATAACATGAATTTCTTCACTTTCAACATCACTGCATCCCTTTAATTTTAAAATACAGGTTGAGCATTCCTAATCTGAAAATCTGAAATTTGAAATGTTCCAAAACCTGAAACTTTTTGAGCACCAGCATGATGACACAAGTGGAAAATTCCACATTTGATCTCATGTGACAGTTTGCAATTAAGACACAAGTACACAACACAGAGTTTATTCAGTGTCTCTGAGGGAAAAAAGACCCGTCAAGTTCCCTTCAGCTGCAGCATATCTTTTCTGTATATGCCCAGATTCTCCCACAGAAGCACACCCTCAAAGGATAATGAAATGGCATGTGTGAAGGCCCAGTGTCCCAAGGACAGGTTCCCCAAGATACCCCACAGGAGGCCACCATTTGTGTGCATCACTCAGTGTGTTTTTTGCTTATTCTCTGCTCTGTGATATAAAGATTTTGCTGAAAATGTCAAAAAGACCCACAGATGTCCCTGTGGGTAATAGTGATAGGAAAAAGAGGAAACATTTATGTTTATCTATAGCACAGAAAGTCAAGCTGTTGGAAAAACTGGACAGTGGTATAAGTGTGAAACGTCTTACTGAAGAGTATGGTGTAGGAATGACCACCATATATGACCTGAAGAAACAGAAGGATAAACTGTTAAAGTTTTATGCTGAAAGTGATGAACCAAAGTTAATGAAAAATAGGAAAACACTGCATAAAGCTAAAAATGAAGATCTTGATCGTGTATTGAAAGAGTGGATCCGTCAGCGTCGCAGTGAACACATGCCACTAAATGGTATGCTAATCATGAAACAAGCAAAGATCTATCACAATGAATTGAAAATTGAAGGGAACTGTGAATATTCAACAGGCTGGCTACAGAAATTTAAGAAAAGACATGGCATTAAATTTTTAAAGATTTGTGGCAATAGAGCATCTGTTGATCACAAAGCAGCAGAGAAATTCACTAAAGAAGTGGATATTGAAAAAGTTTTTAACAAGAATCAGGCTCCAGTTGTTCATTCATTGACCAGCGGTAAAATAGCCAAAATGGTTCTGAATCAGACTGATCAAGGTAATAGTCATGATGAAGATGATGGTGTTAGCACTGCAGAAAAACTGCCTATAGATGACATGGTGAAACTGTGTGATGGACTTATTGAAGGATTAGAGCAGCGAGCATTCATAACAGAACAAGAAGTCATGTCACTTTATAAAATCAAAGAGAGACTTCTAAAGACAAAAGCTGTTGCTAATGCAGAAGATGACACTGGAGGAAACGTTTTAAAAAGCCACTCAGCATAATGCTTCCTCATCCCTAGAGGACCCACTTCCTGGTCCCTCAATTGCCTCTGATGTTTCTTCTCACCTAATACAGTAAAATAAAGTAGTGTACAGTAACCATTTAAACACAACACCACAGGTGTTAATTAGAAACTGCTGCTGTTTAACAGCTGATACAGGAATTCTGGAGATGCTGCTCTGCTACCTGCTTACCCTGAACGCATTCTTTTTCCTGTATTAATGGTATGTAATACTTTTTACTAACCACGTACATGTGAGTAAGTGTGACAAAGTGATTCCTTACTAGAAGTATATGAATTCAGAATCAACAATGATGGTGATGCCAAACAACCACACAGATTGTTCAGTGAGTGGTTGCAATAATGACACTTTTGCTTTTTTAATGGGTCAGTGTACACAAATTTTCATGTACAAAATTTAAAAATTAGCTTCAGGCTACATGAATTGGGTATATGTGAAACATTAATGAATTTTCTGTTTAGACTTGAGTCTTTTTTCCCTAGATATCTTAGTTTGTATATACAGATAAAATTGAAACACTTCTGGTCCCAAGCATTTCAGATAAGGAATACTCAACTTTTAATAAAATTCTATCCCTAGGGCCCGGGATTTAGCTCAGTGATTCCGCCGCCTGCTGTGCAGGCGCAAGGACCCGAGTTCAATCCCTGGTACAAAAAAAAAAAAAAAATCTATCCCTAAATTCCTACAATAAAGTGTACATGATAAACTCTTCTCTGAGGACCTTTGTGTGCTGTATAATGTATACTCTTTATATAATGTGTACTCCTACCACTACCTTCTTTTTCTTCCTTTTGAACACCTTTGACCCATTTTGTACAGGATATTTTTGTTATAGTTATATGCAGCTAATAATAAAAAGAAAATGTTCATTTCTGGTTAGAATAACTTTTACCTTTGTATATTGGCTTTATTTCAGGCCTTATACTTTCAGCTAATGCCCCAGTAGTAATAAACTATTAGGCTGTGATTCAGTCCTAACAACATGAACATTTGTTAACTCTTACCTAACATTTCTTATAGATATGGTCTCTTAACAGACTAAAATGCAGCTTCCACTTTTATTGCTTCATTTTGTATTTTCTCTTTCCCCACTGTCTTACTTAAACAAGATTTTAACACAAGGAAAAACATCACTTGACACCTGGCTTTGGTGCTTATTGGCTGAGATTTATTGTTACTTAAATTCTAAATATATTTGTGTACACCATCCATCCTCTCATCATGGTTAACATCAGCAGTTTTCACTAGGAAAAAAACATAATGATAGTGGAAGAAGTAGATTGCTGCTGTAAGGTAGGAGAAACAGAAAAGGCATTTAACATTATTACCCCTGTGTTATCTACATTTTTGAAAGATTGAGCCATGTGATAGTTAACTGTGGTGTCAATTTGAATAAGGAGTGTTTATCTGATTGGTTTAGCACAGTTCTGAGTGTGTCTGGATGATGGACTTACTGAAGAGGGAAGAACGCACCCTGAGTATGGGTGGCACCAACCAATAGACTTAGTGCCTGAATGGAATAAAAAGGGAAAGTCTCACTTCTGCTTCTTCAGAGAATCTCCAGTCTTCACCATCACCTTAGGATGTCCATCTCCAGGCTTCTAGAGCATACTCTTCAGCCTTCCAGTGCACACCCTCCAGCTTATTTGGTATCACACAGGACTCTGCAGTGAGCTACAAGTCTTCAGCTTCTGACTGTATCCTCCAGCTCTCCAGTGCATAGACCGTCCTTTTGCATTCTTCCACACCTGACTCCAGGTGACCATTGTAAGTCT